CAGAGATCTACCTACCTCTGCCTCCTGAGTGCTGGGATTAAAGGCCTGCACTATCATCACCCAGCTTATTCTCATTTTTAAAGAAAAGATGCACGTATTTTATGTGTATGAATGTCCATGTATGCATGTGTACTATGTGTGTGCCTGGTGCCCAGGAGCTAGAGTTACAGGTGGTTGTAAGCCTCCAATAGGGTTCCAGAAACCAAATGCAGGTGCTCCACATGAGCAGTAAGTACTTAACTGTGAGCCACCACTCCAGCCTCTCTTCTGATTTTTGACAAAGGTAACAAGACCATCAAATAAGGAAAACTCTTTTTAGTGCAGGGGTTGGGAAAGCTGGCTATCTACATGAGGAGGTATGCAGTGAATCCTCATCTCATACCACACACAGAATTAACTCTAAATGGATTGAAGACTTAAACAAAAGAGCTGAACCTATAAAAGTTCTCTGGAAAACACCAAGTATTTGGTTTGCCATTAGGTAATCTATCCTTGCTATGACACCAACAGCGCAAAAATAAGAACAAAGATTACTTCAGCCATATGAGGAGACATTATGCAGAATGAAAAGTCAGTTCCCAGAACAGGAGTGAGCACAACACAGAGCTGCCACAGGCTCTAAAAGGAACTTCCATTACTTGAGAGACTGAGGCAGCAGGCTAGAGAGGTTGAGACCAACCTGAGCTACAGAAAAAGACTTGGTCTCAAAAACAAAACAAGTGGGTGGTGCTGGCGCATGCCTTGAATCCTAGCACTTGGGAGACAGAAGCAGACGGATCTCTGAGTTTGAGGCCAGCCTGGTCTACCGAGTGAGTTCCAGGACAGCCAGGGCTACACAGTGAAACTCTGTCTCGAAAAACCAAAACAACAGCAATAAGAAAACCAAAACCAAGCAAAATACCAATAAAGAGGAGGAAGAAATGATGATCTTCTACAACTCAATAACAGAAAAAAAATCCAAGTTTACAACCGTGACAGTTCAGCCAACAGTTCTTTCAAGAGGACACGCAGATTGCCAACAAGCACCTCCAAAAGATGCCCACTACCACTTTATCTTAGTCACTAGGGAAATGCAGTGAGGCCACAAGGAGATACTTCTTCATACCTACAAAGATGGTCATGATTTTAACAAACACAAATGGTGGAAATGTGGAAAGATTAGAAGCTTAGACTGTGCTGGTGGGAATGTCAAATTGGCAGATAGAGAAAACCATGCGACAGTGCTGGGAATAGTAATATGGAAGTTACCTTGAGATTCAGTAGGTCCTCTCCTAGGTGTGCACTGAAGAGAACTGAGAACATACACTCACACAGATGCTCACATCATTGTTCACACTAGCTGGAAGTAACTCTAACAAGGAAATAATGGAATATCACTCGGCCATTAAAAGTAATGGACTAGAAGCTGGATGGGTAGTTTAATGGTATGGCACAGGCTTGACATCTGTAAGGTCTTGGGAACAACCCCTAGCATTGTTTTAAAAATAGAGTATGTCCAGGTGTGGAGTGCACATCTTCAATCTTATTAGGAGGTAGACAGAACAGGTGGATGTCTTGAGAGTTTGAGGGCAGGCTGGTCTACATAGTAAGTTCTAGGCCAGCCAGGGCTACATAGCAAGACCCTGTCTGAAAACAAAAACAAACAAACAAAACTCACAAAAAAACAGAAAGAACTGAAATGTATAGTACTGACACATGACATACCATGAATGAACCTTGAAGACAGCTAAGTGAGGAAAGCCCAGCAGGAAGTTACCCACAACCATATGTAAAGTGTCTAGAATAGTAATCTATACAGACAGGAAGTAGACTAGTGGCCGTCAGGCAACAGGGTGGGGGTTGGGGGTGTTAGGAGGCCACTGAGAGGTATGGTCTTCTTTCCAGGGTGATAAGGGTACTCTGGAACGAGACATTCCTGGTGGCTATATGGCCTCAAATGTATACTAAATTCTATTAAGTGGGACACTTTAAGGGGATTTGTTCTGGTTAGTTTTATGACTGCACTGACTTCCCTCAATGATGGAGTGTGACTTGACAGTTGTAAGCCCTTTCCTCCCCAAGTTGCTTTTGGTCATGGTGTTTTACCACAGCAACAGAAACCCTAATTAAGACAGGAATTATACCTTAACTTTTAGAAGGGGGACAGATATTCAGGCTCACTCATAAAAAGGCTGAACTTTTTGGATAGACCATGGTGGGAAGAGAATTCTAAGCAGAAGGGTCAGAGTGAGGGAGGGCATGGAAACCACCAGAAAGCAGAGCACACTTAGGTCAATGGGACCAGCTCAGATCTGGGATTCCGGATGTTTGCACAAGAGCAATACAAACTGCACAAACTAGGGATCTGAGGTATTGACAGGAAACATGGTAACTTATTAATTATTAAGCCTTATATGGCAACTGAGAAGGACCCAGAGCTTGCCTTGGTCTCCCAGGACAGCAATGTGACCAGTTGCTGGGCTCCATCCGCCTTATCAAGACACCTCCTTCCCTCACCTCAGAACTAGCCCGGGGCTCCGATACGTTGGAAACCCACTCCACATTGTCCTTACTATTTATGAAATATATCTATTCTATTGGTTATTTTGAGCTTTCTCCAAGCACAGCATAAACTTGAAGACAGCCTTGCCTAAGTCCAGAGTACTATGTGACTTTCTAAGGCAGTGAATGAGATTGGTAAAAATGACTTTGCTAACTTACGTTGCAGTCCTGTTTTGAACAGCCTCCTCATCACAAATTCCTTCAAGAGAACTGGACCATGTCCTGTCCCCTGCTGGCTTCTCACATGCTGACTGCTGGGTCCCGCTTTTCTCCTACAGTCCCAACTTCCTCTCACTCACCACAGTGCTCTGCACATTCTGCTCACAGCTCCTGCCTCCACCTGCTAGCTGAAGCACCTGGAGACAATGCCTATGCCTTTCCCAGCCTTGGACTAGTCAGCCAGCAGCAAACAATGATGGCGTCAGAGACAGAAATAACCACAATCACTAAGGTTTGAAGAAATCTTAGAAGAAACTCCATGAAACAGGACACAGACACTAACAAGGGGTGCATGCCGAGTCAGCCCGTGACCATTGCCATGTTTACTTTAATCACACGGGTCTCATTTTGCTAAAACTCAAGAAGATTCAGACAAAAAGGATGGCTTTCCAAATGCTATGCTCCCAAACCTATGGTTTCCTATGATATAAACACAAGACTCTGGAGGTATGGTTGATATTTGCTGGTGTGCATCTGGGGAGAAATGGATGGTGAGGAAGGGGAACTTGAGGGAAGTCTGCCTAATGAACTGACAGCTCATATAAGCAACACCTGGAATGTTAAACCCATTCCATGTGTTATTTTACTGAGAGAGAGAGAAAAAAAAGATTCCACTCTTCCTTTGGTTGGTGTGAAAATCTTTTGGCAGCTGTGGTTCCAGGCTGCGGTGTGTGGCAGTTCAGGAGATGGCAGCTGGAAGGGATCATGCTCAGGATGTGCAGAAAATCTGCCAGCAGAGAGGGAATAGCCAGACCCCAGGAAAAGAATCCTCACAGCCCGCTTCTTTAAGAGACAAGGCTAGTCTCCAGCTCCTGTTTACAGTGTGTGGCTGCGGATCCTGCCTGGGATCCCGGCTGGAGATCCTGGCTGAGCACAGGATTGGCCTTGAGAACCGGAGCTTTGGAACATCAGCTGCTTCTTAACTTCCTACTTCACTCCTTAAAACCCCAAAGCCAAAGTTTTGGTTTTAATCCTACTTTTGTTAAATAGTTATAATCGACTTTAAAGCCAAACTCAGACCAAATGTCTGCTTCCTGAGGCATGGCATTCCTCTTGTCAAGAGGGAGGAACCAAGGCTTTCTGAGCACTTGACTAGCACCACCAGGCACTCATTGCTGTCCACTCTCACAGCTCTGGGAGGCAGCCAGCCAGATGCATTTCACACAGAGGAGATGGATCTGCACAGGTTCAGTCATCTATGCAGTGCTCTCAAAAGGAAAACCAGAAAATGTAGGTCTGTCTGATCCCAGTGTCAAGGCTCCTCCCACTACCCTCTGTCATAAATTCTGCCTAGATTCCCCAGACAAGTGAGTCTTCCAGGAGTCCATGACCAGATAGGTATGGGCAAGCTTTTGCTGGACAGGGTCAGCTGGTCAATGTTTTTGCTTTGTAGGCTATACGGTCTCTGTTACAAGCACTAATTTCTACAGTTGCAGCAGAGAAATAGCCATAGATGGTGCGTAAGTGAATGAAAACAGCTATGTTCCATTAAGACTTACAGGAACAAATGGTAGGCCACATTTGGCCGAAGGCTATGGTCTGTTATTTCCCCTGCTCTACAAGGCTTGTTGGGTTTAAAAGACAACAAGAATTGCTTACTTTTTCCTTAATCTATAAACATAAAGTCTTCAATATGGTCTAGACATGTAAGGGATACTATTGTTCTTTTTTGAGACAGGGTCTTCCTGTGTAGTCCAGGCAGCCTTGAACTTGAAATCCTCTTGCCTTAGTCTTCTAAATCCTGACATTATATATAAGAGTCACCACATTCCTTAGGAATTTACATTCTTTGGGGAAGAAAAGATAGGCATATAAAAACCCCAAATAGCAGCACATGGTGAGCGTACTGCTAAGAGTCATAGGGGCTGAGGGTACATTAAAACCAGAGTCCACTATGTGATCAAATTATCTAATCACCAAAGCTCAGGAAGAGCCGGAACCTCTCACTAGGCAAGACTGAGCAAAGAGTCAGGAGTTGCTGCTGTAGACCTCACCAAGATGCTCATCCTGCAAGAGCACCGACAGGTTTCAGCAGGAGTTAGATGATGACCCAAGAACCCATCTCCTTCAGAAGACTCACCCCACCCCCACCCCACAAAAGGGCCAGCAACAGCCCCAGGCGCCAGGTATAGTGAGCCTAGAAGGAACTCTGGGAGGCCTCCCCTGTCCCCTCAGCTGACACTAAGAGTCAGGAAGGCATGGAAGTCACTCTGGTAGGAGGCCACCTCCTAAAATCTCACCTTGCTCATGGCAATCAGGGCAGGATCACAGGCTGCATCCAAATCCTGAACCAACAGCTGGATGCTGCTGGAGATGACACTGCAAAGAAACAAATGCTGTTCTTACTCCTAAAAAAGTGACAGGATGATGGGCATGGCCCCCTAGAGGTGTTTTCCACATACGGGCAAAACTTAAATTTGTCATTTCTTTATGAAATTTTGGGTTTTAATCACTGATAATGGAGGAACAGCTGGATCTTCATGTCCTGTTCTTATCTGGGTGTATCTTATCTAGTTAGGACCCAAACTTCCAAGAAGTCTCTCTGAGTTCCCCTCCAAAAGCATCTGTATTCAAAAACTTGTTTAAGTCAGAATGAGGAGGAGGAAGAGGAGGGAGAACAGGGCACTGCTTCTCATGGCTGGTGGAGAATGCCCAGGGAACACTTAGATTCTATAAGGACTAAAGCACACACCACTTGCGAAGAAGAAAGGCTGACTTGGAGCAAGTGCCTGGAAAGTACGTACGTGCTGAATGTGTCCATTTCTCCCGTGAGATTAATTCGTTCAGTCAGACTTACATCAACTTTTTCTTTGAGTTTTTCTTCTAGCTGTTAGAGAAGGAATGAAGCAGAAGCAAGTTTAATGATCATCCAAAGGTGTTCTAAACTACTAACTGAGTCTCAAAGGGATGAGCCAGACAGGTCCAGGCACAACATGGGACACATTTAATTCTCGCCAGGATGTGAGGGAAGTCCCATTGCCCTCACTTCATAGATGAGGACTGCAGTAGCCCACCCAAGACAGCAGGTGGTAGGGCCCAAATCAGCTTCCAAGAACCCAGCTCCTTTGGTGCCACATTGGGCTTACTTCTTTTTTTTTTTTTTTTTAAAGATTTTATTTATTTATTATGTATACAACATTCTGCTTCCATGTATATCTGCACACCAGAAGAGGGCACCAGATCTCATTACAGATGGTTGTGAGCCACCATGCGGTTGCTGGGAATTGAACTCAGGACCTCTGGAAGAGCAGTCAGTGCTCTTAACCTCTGAGCCATCTCTCCAGCCCAGGCTTACTTCTAATGGCACATCAACAGCTCCTACGGCTTGTCCTGCACAGGTTCCTGCTCTGAGTGTTTGGTCCCTGGTGGTAGTGCTATTCCGAAGGCTGTGGAGCCTTTATAAGGCAGAGTGTAGATGTCAGAAGCTGGGTGAGAGCTTTGGAAAGTTACAGGAAAGCCCTGCTTCTGGGCTACTAGCATGCAAGGGGTCTCTTTATGCCCTCACAGCCAGGAGCACTGGGCTCCTCTCCACTGCCATAGACTGCAGTAACCTCTGCTCCCTTTAGTTGTATCTGTGAAAAGTAACAAGTATGGTCTCCCTGCATGCCCCATGAAATGTAGCCTCACTCACCAGTGTTGGGAACTGTCAATGTGAGTGACAGGAAAATCAGCAGAAACATTTGCCAAGTGTTTCTATGGCCACTACCTTTCCAAGGTGCCAGATGTTTCAAGTGCTGAATTAGAAATACATCTTCACCTTGGTCAGCCTAGGACTTAGGTAAAAACACTCATGTACTCCTGAGCCTTGGAGAAAAATCCAATTGATCAGGATCTGGGAGGACCTAAAATGCCCCAGGAATTGATAAATCTAGCACTCCTAAATCAATCACACTCACTCTAAGAAAATGAATGCTCTGCATAAAAATGTAAAGTGCGCTTAGAGGACTGGAGAGATGGATCGGTTCCCAGCACCCACATGGTGGCTCACCATATCCTGTGACTCCAGTATCAGGGGAATCATCACCCTCCTCTGGCCTCCATAGGCACTGCACAAATGTGTGCACGTAAATCACACATACACATTAAAGAACTTAAAAACAAAAATGTTCTTAAAGGTGTGCAAATGAGGATAAACTGATCTGGCAATTTCACATTTAGAAATGTATTTTCATGAAATAATGAGAATAATGTAGAGCAATGCAAGGATTCTAGGCAGTGTTTAATTCCACTGCTACTTACGGAAGCCTGTCTTGTGCCAGGCTATCTAGAGGGGTGAGGGCCCATTCAGAGAACTCAATGGGCCAGCTCCTGCATCTGTAAAGTTCTATCCAGAAGGGGTTTTTATTACTGAAAACCTGGGAGCAGTCTACATGGACACCTCTGAGGGAGGATGAGACAGTATGCACATGCCCAGTGGCCTCTGCTGTCTCCTTGAAGACAAATCCTAGCTTAAGCATGACATGGGTCCTGTCTACCTTTCTGGCCTCATCCTGCTGTTTCTGCCTTGCCTCTCAGGACATTCACACTCCACACTTCCTCCCTCTAAAATGCCCCTGCGCACCCTCCTGAACAGGCCCCCATTTCCTTGCCCTTCCAACTCCTCTTTTGGCATTTGTTTCTTCTCTCACACTCACCACACAATGGTAGTGAAACCCTGGCTTTGCTTGTTTGTTATCTGTTTCCCATCAGTCTGAGGCTCCTGACAATGATTCCTGGCCTCTCTGTGCCATCATGAGAGACAGTGCCTGGCACAGGAAGTATCTGGTAAAGCTCTCTTGAAGCTCAGGGAGACCCTGAACTTCTGAGTCTCCTCTTCTACCTCTCAAGGATGGAGATTTCAGTACAAGTGTGCACCACCATACCAGTTTAAGTGGAGCTAGGGATGAAAGCCAGGGTTTCGTGAGAGGTAGGCAGACCTGGATCAACTTTCCTGCATATCTGTAGCCACCCTGCCCGCTCAGCCTGGAACCAGTCATTTTTACCAGGAATCTCTGTTTCTTTTAAAGGAATATGGCATTCAGACATCCTATAGGTGGCTAAGAATGCATGCACTTTTATAATCAATAAGATGATTTTCATTAAATGAAAAAAAAAAAAAAACGGCTACACAAGTCATCAAAATGGTCTCTGGTTTACTCAAACTTCTAAAATACCTTAAGAATCTGTTCTAGAAACATAACATAAAACTTTTAAGATACTATAGTCAGAAAGATGGTTTTGTAAGATTATAGAGGCAAAACTTTAAAGCAGTACAGATAATTACCATGGCTATTATTAAATATTCACTAATCCTTTAATGGAATATTATATAGCCATAAATAGTAGTAATAATAAAGACAGCTTAGTAACAGGAGAATGTAAGACACTAACAATAAAAGGATATAAAAGTGAGCTAAGATAACTGCATACAAAACTATGTTTATAAAATAACTCAAGCTGCTAATGTGATTATTTGAGGATGATGGCATTATGAGTAGGCTTGGGGTGTGTGTGTGTGTGCATATGTGTATGTTTTTTTTTTTAGCAAAGTGCTTAAGAAGAAAGCGAGTTACAACTGAGAATGTAGGGTAGGTTATGAAATGAGTCCCAATTGCATTGCTCTGTTTGTTTGCTTTGGTCACTTCACTATTAAGATTCTGTATTAAAAGTCTGGCATGGCGGCACACACCTTTAATCCCTGTACTCAGAAACAAAGGCAGAGAGAGTCTCTGTGAGTTCTGAACCAGCCTGGTCTACTTACTGAGACCCTGTCTCAATCCAAGAGACATTATATGTCTTTCTCATACACTCTAAATGCCTATGTTCCTTATGAGGGGCTCAGGGGTGTGTGTGTGTGTGTGTGTGTGTGTGTGTGTGTGTATTTCTGGCTCTAATGCTCAGGGGTGTGTGTGTGTGTGTGTGTGTGTGTGTGTGTGTGTGTGTGTGTGTGTATTTCTGGCTCTAATGCTAAAGTGGCCTTCAAGTATATGTATGTGACCATGCCACAAAACAGAGTGTGCTACTGCCTTGGTCTTGACATCTGGGCCCAGCTGGCTGACCTTCAAGGAGTCTGCTGGATACTTCCTGTGTTCACACCCTGGCAAACAGGGGGTCCAAGCTATCATGCCTGAACTGCCCCTTGGGACTGACTTGTTAGAAGCTTAGGAAATGAGCATCAACATCAGGAAGAACAGAGCTCTCCCAGGTCACTTTCTTGTTCTTAGTCTCAGGGGGATCCCCGGCCAAATAGGAAAAAGATCCTCTGACTCTGTGGAGGGCCCTGTTGCAAGTTACTCTGGCTCCTCCTCCTGTAAAGTTAGTTTGCTACACTGCCTTCTGGGGGCTGCAGCAGAGGCCTCACCCTTTCTGCTTCACAGTCATATCTCAAACAATGGTTGTTATGGTGGACAGAGAATGCTAGAAAATGTCAGGAGACACGTAAAATCCTGAAGGACTCTGCTTATTAACATGGCTAAGAATGGAGTCACTGGGATGGTTGACTCACCCACCAAAGGCTGGGCCTGCTACCCCAGAGGGAGGTTATTGCTACTTTTCTCATGAGGGACATTGTGCTACTGACCTACTTTTAAGAGGTCCTGCCTGGTTGGTAACTTACATAACCTGAGGGTGGAGACTGGCCGTACTTCTCCTGTAAGATGGCTCCTGGGGCATCTCTGACTACATCTTCCTGTAAGACTCACTGGCCTGCCCAAGGTCAGTTTGGTGGAGCTTAGCAGAGTTCCTGGGCTCCACTCCAGCTCTAGCTGAGGGCTCCAGGAAGACAGCATGCTCGACTGGGTGCTCACCTGCTGAGTAGTAGCCAGACAGTACTCGGCTGTGCTGAGGATGCTGCAGATGAGACACAGCTCCTCCAGAGTGAACCTGGCCACTTCCGAGCCCTCCTTCTCTTTGAGGAGGCTGCTGATGGTCAGTCCCCCACTGCTGCTGGTGGTCCTGAGGAAAAGGACAGGAACTAGTCAGACTGCAGCTGCTAATTTGCTTCCTGAAGCTGTGCATTTAATGACAAAGAAGAAAGGGGAGGAAGGGCTGGCACCAGTACAAATAAATCAACATACAATGGGTCCCTTTGCCCCTGACCTTACCTTGACTGTCAGTCTGTTAGAACCTCTCACCCACAGGAACAGGAAGAGACAACGCCAAGAGAGAGCCAGTGAGCAGTCCTCACCTGGGATGATCCCATTCTCATCAAGGAGGCAGTTTGGCCTAGTGCCTTGCTTGGGATTCCCCGAGGTACAGATGTCTCTTGGGGGTCATCTGTAGCACAAAAGCTGCTTCCCCACCCATCTTTCTCAGTTAAGATGGGTACATATGGAGCTCATAAGTGAACAAGCAGAGTAAGACAGCCTAACAGTGCACATGTGTGCCCACGCACACACAGGCAGAGAGGCAGAGGTTGACACTGGGTGTCTCCTTTATTATTCTGCATCTTGTTTCTTAGTTATGATCTCTCACTAATCCTGGAGCTTGCCAGAGTTGGGCCGACTGGCTGCCATTGAGGCCCTGGAGTCCTCTTGTCTCTGCCTCCTAGTTTTGTGATTACAAGTGAATGTTGCCAAATCCAGCTTGGCATGTGTGTGCTGGGGATCTGAACTTGGGTTCTCATGCTTGTGCAGGAGACACTTTACCCACTCAGCCTTCTCCTCCAGCCCCAATCCACCCATATCTTTAAACATAAGACTGTGCAAACAGCATTAGTGGCTGTGGAAGACAATGGGGAGTGGTGAGCTTGTCTATCTGGCACTCAAGGCATGAACACACTGAACAGGCTGGAGTGACACTGTCTCTGCTGCTGAATAACTTTTTTTTTTCTATGTTGAGTCCATGTGCACTGAGAACATATGCATAATAGGGCCATCTCAGTGATGCACTGTGACCTATCCTGGTGGATGGGGAACTGTTGTGGAATATTATTTTAAGATATGTTACATTTGTTTTATGCTGTGGAACATTTGTTTAATGATGCAAAGGTGTGTTACATTCTTTTATGTTGCCTTTGTTTAACTCTGTGAAGCTGTGTTACTTTGCCTGTCTAAAATACCTGACTGGTCTAATAAAGAGCTAATGACTACTAGCAAGGCAGGAGAAAGGACAGACAGGGCTGGCAGGCAGAGAGAATGAATAGAAGGAGAAATCTGGGAAGAAAAAAAAGTTGAGCAAGAGAAGGAAGAGGTCACCGGGGACCAGTTACTGAGCTACACAGCACACCACAGAGTGAGAAGCAAAGAAAGGTAGACAGAAACAGAGAAAGGTAAAAGCCCAGAGGCAAAAGGTAGACAGGATAATTTTAAGAAAAGCTGGCTAGAAACATGAATAAGCCTATGTGTGACTTATTTGGGAGTTGGGTGGCTGGCCCCCAAAAGAGCCAAAGAGTAAAAAAAAACCCAGCTACAGGGAACATGTCTACTGACAGTCATGGTCAGCTGTGGACTGTCATTAAAGAAAGTGGCAGCACAGCGCATCAGGCCCTTTGGAGCCCAGGAGGAATGTTTTCCTCAACACTCTTAGCAGCTCAGTAAACCCCAGAGTGGCTTTCCTTAAAGACTCCCATATTTAGGGATGCTGAGAGTCTCACTACCCCCCTGAAAGTGAGGAGATCAGGACTCACTTAGGGAGGTTGCCAGAGAGAATTTTCCAGGCATATTCTCTGAGGTACTTCTGGAAGATGGTGGTCAGGGCGATCATGGGCTCCCCAGTGCTGAGCTGTGAGCACTGCACCATGCACTTCTTGTAGTAGACGAAGAGGTCAGCACAGCTGGGGAGTACAGCACCCCCTTCGTCAGTGTTAGGCTTCGGTGGGCCCTGGGCTTTGAAATCTGCCACAAACCGGTCTATCAGCTCACTGAGGTTTCTAGAAGAATAGAAATGTTGTTTCACTTGGAGAGATCATACAGGGATGCTGTGTGCAGTGGACATAAGCTGTTCCCACAAGTGCTCATTTCTGGTCCTACCCAAACTTACAAGTGGGTGCATTTTATTCATGTCACCACTAACTTCCCTGCTTTAAAAAAAAATGACAGCAATAAAGTCTGACATTTGACCACTGCTTTGTTCCAAGGCATTTCATCATCATATCTGATCTTAGGGCCCCATGAGAGACAGAGCACTGCTGCTCCTCTAGAAGGTAAGAAAGTTGACACCTAAAACTCTGTCACAAAACTGAGTGACAGAGCTGAGTGGAGAACATGCCACATAAGCACTCACCCTACAATGCTGAGCACCAGCTGTTGTTTCCACAAATGAAAGTCCTGAACACTAAAGATGGTGACCATTTCCTAAACACGTGGAGGAGTCATGGCTGTGCCTTATAACCATGTCATGGAACTCTTTAACAGTAAACTTTGGAGATACCAATTTTACTATCCCCCTTCTCCAAAAGCCAGGCACAGAAAAGTTAAGCACCTTATCCAAGACAAGCAGGGGAACCAGGATGCAAACCCCAGAAGCCTGGACTCAAGCTTCATGCTTTTCACCAGCCTATACACAGGTTCTGATGGTGGCAAAGATGTAGACATTGCCTGCCATGATGGTTAGAAATCCCTGGAATCATCGAGTCCAAGCAAATCCTTCCTTTCTAAGGTGTTTCTGATAAATATCTTGGCACAATGGCAAGAAAAGAAACAAACACGAGTGAGAAAAGCATGGCCTAACTTGGCTTGTCTAATATTTTGAGAAAGAATCCTTTGTATGTGAGAAACTTTAACATTTACCAGGCCGTTTCATAGAACTTATTTTTTTACTATAATGTTATTTCCTTTCATATTTTACACATGGTTACTGGTATGAAGGCTAATACTTTGTATGTTTATCATATAGAGAGAAACCTCACTAAGCTTGTAAGTTATAATAAATTTAGTGAGTTTGTAAACCTAAATGTGTTCAAGTACCGATGGATGCCTGAATAGAGAGATTCTGTTTAAATACCAAATGCCTTCCTTAAGATGAATAGCTTTCTCTCTCTCTCTCTCTCTCTCTCTCTCTCTCTCTCTCTCTCTCTCTCTCTCTTTCTCCCTCTCCCTCTCCCTCTCTCTTTCTTTCTTTTCCCAGACAGGGTTTCTATGTAGCCTTTGCTATCCTGGAACTCATTCTGTAGACCAGACAAGTCTTGAACTTGCAAAGATCTGCCTGCCTCTCTCTGTCTTCCAAGTGCTGGAATTAAAGGCAGGTGCCACCACCCAGCCCAGTTTCTTTTCTTATAACTTCCAGAATCAAATATGCAAAAATATCTTGGGGTAAGAGTGGGTAGGAACAGCTCTAGGCCTGCCTAGTCATGGTGGTGATGGCTGTGATCTGTCTCCACTCTCCCAGACAAAAAACCCTCAATTTGCCCCAGTCACCCTGAGTCACGAGGAGCTGGAATCTAGCAGGGCTGACTGTCCCTCTGCACAGCTGTGCTGTGTGGACAATGGGAGGCCCCGTTCTTGACATGTGGCACCTTTTTAACTTGCTGGCTAAGGCTACAAGAACCCAGCTGTGTTTTAAAAATATATTTATACAACAGGGAGAAAAAAGGCAAGAACCACACACAGCATCGATTAGCAGGAATAGGAAACAATTGACATTTTACTCCAGTGCTTTTGTTACTCAAAGTTTATGACATCCAGATGTGGCTGCTTCACCCAGGCTAGGTCTCTGCCTGTGGAGAGAAGGGCCTCTTTGGTTGACTTTGGAAAGTGTCTGGGCCACCACCCCCATTCTACACAAACTCTTCTTGCCCTACTTTCCCATGGACCTTCACAACTCTAGTGCATGGCAGGCCTCTGTGCCAGCCAGATACCGGGGCCAGTCACCTCTGTGGCCATATTGCTGGGCCTTCACCTGGCCAAAACTCTTTCCCTCTAGTTTCCTAGGCCTAAGCCCCATTGCACAACTCAAACAATACCTGCTCCCTCCACTGGAACTGCCATCACTGGCCACTCACTGTCATGTGATTTGTTTTTGGTTTGTCCATCTGTTTTAAGACAGGATCTACTCTATAGCCCAGGCTGACTATGAATTTACAACTCTCCACCTGAGTGCTGGGTTATAGTGTATGATAAACACCCGGCTCTTACTATTTTTCTTTTCCAGATAGGGTTTTACTATGCAGCCCAAACTGACTTGAAACTTGTGATCATCCTGCCTCAGTCTCCCCAATGCCATATTGACAAGTATGTGTCACAGCACCTGGTTTTGGCATTTGAGTTAACACTTTACCATAATGTATGATGTATCAAGCCTTTTCCTGCCCTGGTGCACAGGGGGTGATATGAATCAGCAGTGCCTGTTTCCTGAGCTATGCTGTAATTCCATAGTACTAGGGACAGCACTCTACTAGCACCTGGTGTAGAGGCAGCTGCTATTTTACAGCAGGAAGGTACCATCCTCTGTAACCAGTACTGCGTCTCCCTTGGGAAGAGGTGTTGTTCATGCTCCCTCAGTCCACTGTGCAGGCTGGTGTATCAGGCTAACCTTTATGTTGGTACCCAATGCATGCTAACTGATCACCCTCCATACTTGGTTCCTAGGGATGGGAATAAAGCAGTACAGAAGTAAGGATGGACAGGGGATAGGGCAGTGGAGGAGGAGGAGAAACATAAGGCAAAGAAAGCACTGGAGTCTGTTGAGGAGTCTAATTGCCACACAGATGGTACCAACTGAGGCAGAGGTGGAAGTAATTATACTGTCATCACTTATCTATCCCTAGCACCATATCTATCCTTATCTACTTCCTATTCCAGAGTCAACCTTATGAGTAAGATTACAATTAATTATGATTATACAGCATCGAGAAATTGTTCACAAAAAAAAAAAAGCCCTCTAAAGATCTACATTTTATGGACTTTCCACCAAGTTACTTTTGACATTGTAAAAGTCACATTCCTGGTGAAAGGAAGCTTCCCTGTGCCCTCTTGCACTCTGCATCAGTGTGCATGAGATAATGAGCTTTGCAGAGGAAGAGGAGAAGGTGCCCCAGTGGGAACCTGTGGGGTTCACTGCTTATGAAGTGCTGAGCCAGTCCAACTAAATATCAACTACGCACTCACTGTGTGCAAGACTCAAGGGTTCTAAGACACAAATAAATTTAACTTAAAAAAGGTCATCACTGCTTCCAGACAGTTTGGCAAGATCTTCATGCAGAATTAATGGAGACAGGGATGTGTGGCACAATAATCTGTAGATTAGAACCACAAGGGAGTCTTTTCCACCCAAAAGCAAGTACAAGCAAGTAAGAGTTTACAAATGGTCAAGTTCTGATCAGGGGTCTGTGGAGTGTTGAGAATCCCTGAATGCTTAGACAGTGACAAAATGCTAAGTCAGAGCGAGCGGCAGAACAAAAGCAGGCAGCCAGAGGTGAGAAGTAGAACCAGAGGGACCAGGAGGTCATCCCCAGCTACAAAATAAGGTGAGGCCAGCCTGGGCTACACGAAATCCTGTCTCAGAAGTCCTAAACTACATGTGAAGGAGAAGATGTGAAGGAGAGGAAGAATTCGGCTGAGGGTGGAGATGCACAGTAAACGTGTCTAACCTTGAGTGTGGCGGTCATACCCCTCTGAATTCTCACAGCAATCCCTTCAGAGCTTTATCTTTTTTTTTGAGACTTTATTTTAGTGCAGACTGGGCTTAGCAAGGTATCTGCTGATGGATCTGCAGTTAGCATTCAGAAATAGTCAGTCAGACGGGAAAGCAATGTAGCAGTAGCACTGGGAGGAGATAGCCCAGGAGCCCACAGATTCAGCAAGCATTACTCTCAGGGCTACACCCGCCAACACGCACCTGCCTTTCCACTTCTCCTGGGCTGGGGCTGTGGACTTGGCTCTGGGATGAGCAGTGGGGGTGGAAAGAAACTGGGAGATGGGCTATATATGGACAAACAGAGGAAGCAAGTAAATGCAACAAGGATACCTGGAGCCATGCACACTTTTTGCTCTTGTGTTATAGAAGGCAGCATGGGTTCCCCTGTGGAATAGAGATCTTAGCATGAACCCACAGGCTTTAGTGAACAGTAGTGTGTGGATGCATGAATGTTCATACAGACACATGTTTCTTAGTTCTCTCAGCTGAGTGCCTGCAAGCAATGGCACCTAGCAGACCAGAGCTTGGTGTCTACAGTTGCTCCACACAGAGGAAATGGAAGTCTGGTTGCAAGCATAACCCTAGGGCTGGACTTGGAACACAAGATAAGCCTAGTGCATTTTATTGTGCAAAGGAGAGTGTTCAGGAAATGATAGGGGCATGCAAAAAGATGAAAAGTCAGCTCAAGAGGCTCACACTGACCCTATCGAGGGTTAACTGAGCATTAAAGTGGCAGATCCTAGAAAGAAAGGGGCAATAGTGGAGAAACTGGCAGGAGCCAAGCAAGACCTGGAGGATGGTAATGGTACTGTACTGACTTTTAACTTCCAGGCTTTGTTGTTTAGGTTTCAAGACAGGATTTTGCTATGTAGCTCAGGCTGGCCTGGAACTTAGGATTCTCCTGTCTTGCATCTGAGTGTTTCATCATAATCATCTGCCACTCGATACACATTATGTGCAAGTTTTGATAACTGCTATGGCTATGTAACAGTGTAGGGTATGGAATACGGGAAATCTGTATAATTTTTCTAAAATATGAATCAATTCTGATATAAAGCAAAAAGGGTGGGAGATAATTCACCAAATGAAATCAGAATTTGTAAGCCATGTTTACACACACACACCATGTATGTATGTATATATGTATGTATGTATACACACACATACATATATGATTTATGACATATATAAAATCAGGAAGAAGATCTGGGCGGTGGTGGGCATGCTTTTAATCCCAGCACTCTGGAGGTAGAGGCAGGTGGATCTCTGTGAGTTAGAGGCCAGCCTGGTCTAAAA